AATTATCAATGAAAAAAAGGTCACTCGAAAGAGAAGATTTTTCGCTAAACAAACACGACTTTTTATTGGACGTTATGCAATGTAAGGTTGAAGACATGCACTCCGTGATCGGTACAAAAGCATATGCTTAGTAGTTGGTTGTGCGTGAAAAAGAACAACAGCAGCAAAAACAAAGGTGGATTTGAAACGCGACAGATTCGCCTTTGTGCGGAGTACTTACACTTGAAATCGTGTGAACAAAAAGCGACTACGGCCCACCTTGCTAGCAGCAATCTTAAATTTTATCCCTGTAGTCGTCACACCCATTAACCGAAAGCGTTGCTCCAAGTCCCTCCGCTGTCTACTATGAGTCGCTGTTAAGCCTAAAGAACTGCCTGCTCTATGAGGCCCATATCCAGCCACTGTGCACACACACAAGCACAGGAAATAACACTCGGTTCCAAGTACAAACGAAGAACCTGGGACGGAATGCCCGGAATGCCAACGAGCAGCGACTGACTGCGTAGTACACAGGTTGCGCTCCTTCGATGCCTGCATCGCTGCGGTGGGTGGTCGTGGCTAGTCGTAGCAGATCGTGTCATCTCTGTTGCTCGTACCGGAACACCGGAACCGCGTACTATTCTTGCTGGCGAAGGTTATAATCCTAAGCTCGCGCCCAACTCACTTTACACAAAGCCAACGCCCAGCAAGCCTATCCCCCTCTTTCCCTTTCGGCGACCGGCCGCCAGAGTGGTGACACCGTCGCTGAAACTCCTCAATAAAGTGGGAGGAGATCTGTGAACAATTAGAGGCTGAAGATTTCACAGCGTATCGGGCAGCGGAAACCCACCTTAGAGAGTAGGAGGAACCACCGTACATACCAGGCTATACTCCAGGATGGTATGCAACCGGGGGGAGATGAGCACGAAGGCGGAGGTCTAGACATGTAAAGGCCCGTTCACAGTTTTACGACCTCTTGAAACTGTTTTTTGTAAACCTCTTACAACGAGAAGACACACTGGTGCCATCTATTGGGTAACAGTATAAACTTGGCGGTCCGGAAGATTTTCTATTTCTCTCGCGCATTATTCTTTCTTTCTTGGCTCGAAAACCTTTTGTCAACGTTATAAGCGAGTCTTTCTCATAGGTATTACGCAGATTCGACCTCGGAAATCCCGCAAAACCTTCGCTCTTGTAAAATGCAGTTCCAGGGTCACCACATAGATGGCGCCAGAATGCCAGTGTGTTCCCTCATCCTAATAAATTTTCAGAGGTTTCAACAAGTCTCGTCTATCTCTGTTGCTCTCGGTTGCAAGAGTGTGAACGGGCCTTTATTTAAATGACACGACTGGGAAACAGAGAAGGAAAGCTGCAGGGAACATTTATGGCTGAAAGGTAGGGTACCAGGTCTGAGCACGCTTCTGGCGTTTGCTTACCTGAAAACAAAAAATTAATCAAGAGAGGAAAATAGAGAATACTTTACATGTGTATCGAGGGACATCAAAGAGATTGAGCTTAGGCAGGAAATAATTATCATAGGAGACATGAATGCCCACAATGGAAGAGTTTGACGGGTTCACACATACAACCGGAAAGTTGCTAGACGATTTCTGTGATACCCTGAACCCAGTGTTAGTTAATGCACAGGTGAAATGCGACGGGAAAATAACGGGGGAACGAAACAACTTACACTCAACAATAAACTACGGCTTCATGCCCCCAAAACTGTATGACAGGTTAGAAAGTATGGAAATAGACGAGGGAGGCACAAAAAGCTTTGGGAGTACCACAAAAGAATTAAGGCCAAATGTGGCGCATCCGTGCCACAAAAGAATTAAGGCCAAATGTGGCGCATGGGAACCAGAACAAGCACAGGAACGAGCGGGTAGCCAAATCTAAGTTAAGCTCAAATACAAAAAGTATCTAAAAGTATTCAAAATATAGCATCGAAACAACCAGAAAGAGAATCGACCTATGAAAATTTAATATGTATTTTTAAAATAGAATTAGAGAAGTATCAAATTAAACAAAGAAGAAAGCAAAAACGAAGACACATACTAAAAAGTTGGTGGGATATGGAAGTCAAAGCAGCCATATTGCGGCGCCAGCAGGCATCTAGATAGCATAGGTGGGCAAAGAAAAAGGCAGCCTTGCAAGCTGAACTAGCGTCAAAATACAAGAACTTCCAAGAGCAAGAAAGGGAGGCAACAGCTTTAATACAGGCCGAAATTTGGAGCAAAGGAGTACCGTGAATGATGGAAATAAATAAAGAGAGATAGAAATGCGACAAAAAGGCTTTGGGAGCACATTAAAGCGCCAGGGAGAAAGACAGAGATATTCCAACACTTACTGACCACACAGGAACGGAGAAGAGGCACGGGAGTGTATTAGGCAGACAATCGAAGAGGCTTTCTCCCAGCTTGAGCAGTGGGGGACAGTGGATAGCACTGGCAGCAGCAGTGTAGAAGAGCAGCAGAATTATGCAAGAAAGGCAAGGACCACAAGCGAATAGGACGAGGCAAAAAGTAAGGTTCCAGCAGGCACATCGACAGGCCCAGACGATATACGCATGGAACTCATAAAGACACCGTAGAAAAACAAGTAAATTGAAGTTATGGCATGTGATTAATTAAATAATTATGGGAGGAGAGGTACCCAATGATTGGACACTAAGTAAATGAGACAAATATATAAAGGCAAAGGAAACAAAAACAACATTACGTCATAGCCGAATAGTGGTAACTTCAGTTCCATACAGATTAGCTATGTAGATAGTAAAGCGGAGAATGGAGGAATGGGCAGAAGATATGCAAATAACTGAGTGAGCTCCAAAATGGATTCCGAAGAGATAAACGATTTCAAGATGACTTATTCGTCACCAGACAGTGCATAAAAATAGCAACGAAGAACCAAACTCCTTCAAAGTTAGCTTATTTGGACATCAAGGGAGCGTACGACAATGTGAGCCAAGAAAAACTCGGGTCAGTTGAAGGAGCCCAATTTAGAAGCAAATTTGGTTAGGTTTCATCAGCAGGTGTACACAGACAATAAGGTAGTTAAACATGGGACGCAGAAACTACACAACCCGCAGCAACAAAAAGCGGGCTCAAGCAGGACTCTCCAGTGCCACCTCTATTCTCCATGATACATCTCAGTGAAATGGAGAATAAATTAGAGCAGATCAACTTAGGTTTTCTAGGTGAGTTATATGAAAGGAGGGAGAAATGTAATACAGGTAATACCAGGACTGATGTATGCGGACGACATAGTACTTATGGAAGATAATCAGGACCCATTACAGGAACTAGCTGGAATATGTGGAGAAAAAGGGATCACCTTGGGCATGAGTTTTAGTAGTGACAAGTCTTGAGTAATGGCGTTTAATGACGAAACAAGTTAACGCTGAGAATACAAGACAACGTAATAGATCTCCATGTAGGAAAATGCAAATATTTGGGAGTCTGGCTAAATGAGGGAACGAGGTTTCCAGAGGAACATATGGAGAATATATTTAGAAAAGGGAAGAGAAATGCATCTGTTATGAAGCTTAAGGCACTATAGAACTTTAATAGATATAAAGTGGTCAGAGGTATATGAAAAGGAGTGATGGTACCAGGACTATTTTTGGGCAATGGCGTACAGTGCATACAATCAAAGGCTCAATCAGGATTCGAAATTCGACAAAGAAGCGTAGGTAGATTGACACCGGGAGCACATGGAAAGACACCAAATGAGGGAGTACAGGAGGTCGTCTTTTGAGAGCAGGGAGGCATTTAGTAAGTTGAAATTTGAACAAAGCTTGGACCGAAATGGATGATACGCGTTGAGCACGGTAGGTACTGAAGTATTTATACACGAAAAGTGTAACTACGAAATGGACAAAGCAAACCCGAAAGTTTACATTTAAATACCTACACATTAGTGATGGGGCTCAGCAGACTACTTCAGTGGAAAAGGGAGGAAAAGAGGCAGAAAGAAAAATGTGGGAGGTAAGAATGCAGGAATAATCAGCTCTAACAGGTCACAAAAACAGGACATAAGAAAAGGAAAACGTGTTTGACAATTCACTGGGAATTTCTTTACTGTTTGAGGTGAGAATGGGAGTTTTGAGGACGAGGGCGTGTGGGGTTGAATATCAGGAGACAGACACATTATATACTGCCGGCCATAATGAGAGCGAGACAATAAAACACTTGGTTTTGAAGTGCACGGGACTTCGCCCTGCCCTCCCTGAAGGGTTAACGGATTTGGCTGGGGCCCTTGGTTTTGCTGGGGACGATGGAAGGACGAAAGAGGAAATGACTGCAGTCGCCAAGAGGCGATTAAAATATTAATGGAAATTATCTAGGGAAAATTGAATGATGCACAACTGACTATCACAGCTGGGGACAGGCGGGACACAAGGAAATTGGGACTCCCTCCTCCGTGGCTACAGCCCAAAGTCTCAACTTTGTCTCCCAGTAGCTCCGGTGCTAATGTAATGCAGACAAGGTTTGTCCAGAGGAAAATTGGCGACTCCCTTTCCGGGGGGAAGAGGCGGGGTGATGTTTTTAGCTTTTTTGCGCTATCCCCCAAATGTCATCCTGGTAATACCTCACACTGCCTGGTGATAGTTAGGGGGAGAAAATTAGCTTAGAAGGGCGGGAGGAATCATATGTTTGTCTCTTTCGACTTAGGCTAGGTGGCGCAAGCTATCGCCGCTACATCCATTTATCCATCCGCGTGTGACGTCGTCTGTCAAGCACCGACTCACTCAGAACCATAGGAGGCGAGGAGAAAACCCCCAATATTTGCCTGATGGATGTCCAAATAGAAAACAAACTGCCGGACTTCTACTTTCACTTCATATGGCCCTGAAGTGTCGCTTCAGGCTTTCTGAAGTGTCCTGTTTGAACACCCCTTGACCTGAGCAGGCGATCCCCTGCACAGAATGTGCTCCGTCGGGACGAATGCAATGTATGTTAGGTCTGGTACATGTGTGGCGTTTCTGACGTGACGCACGTGTGGTACGGCACCTGCAGGCTGGTCCGGCACCGCCATTATTGTGGTGTGCGCCCTGGCTTCCGGCTACTGCGGCTCAAGGTTAGGCCTGTGCTGGATCATCTTGGAGGAGCGCTGGCTCGAGTACCGGGATGCCAACAGGAACCCGTACCCGTGCATCGCCTTCCGGGCCTACGGCAAGCCCATGAAGTGAGGCTCTCCATTTGTCTGAGAAATCGTCGCGTATTCAGTGGTGGAGGTCAGCATGAACCCGCGCATATAGGTCACGAACAAAATAATTCCGGTCAATATGGTCTCGCGTGTACAATCGTCTCGCACAATATGGTCTCGGACATACCGTCCCAGGCAAAATGAGCCCGGTGAATATCATTCGCGCCAACAATTGTCTCATACAGCATAGTCCCGGATATATGGTCTAAGATAAAATGGGCCCAGTCAATATGGTCTCGCGCCTATAATCGTATCCACTATATCGTCCCGGACGTATATCGTCCCGGACGGACAATGTGGTCTCACCTCTACAGTGGGCTCGCACAGTATGGTCCCGGACAAAATGGACCCGGTGATTGTGGCTTCGCGTTTACATTTGTCTCACACAATAAGGCCCTGTACATATATTTGAGGACACAGATGGTCTCGAACACAATTGACCCTGTCAACATGGTTTCGCGTCTACAATCATCTGAAACAATAGGGCCCGGACATATGATGCAGGGCACTTATGGTAACGAACAAAATAAATCTGGCCAATGTGGTGCCGTACGCAATTGTCTGAACAATTTGGTCCTGGATATATGGTTCCGTTGACGGAGATGGCCCCGAACAAAATGAACCCTGTCAATATTTTCTCGCGTCTAAAATGGTCTCCCAAAATATGGTCCCAAACGTATGATTCAGGACACACATGGTCCCAGGCAAAATAAGTCCGGCCAATAGGTGCCGTACCCAATGTCTTTACATTATGATCGTGGGTATATGGTTCCGTGGAAACAGATATTACCCGGAACAAAATGGACCCTGTCAATATGGTCTTGCGCCTAGAATTGTATCACACAATATCACCAGAATATATTAACCAGGACACATATGATCCCGGACAAAATAACCCCGGTCAACATTGTGCCATGCCAAATTGTATGTACATTATGGCCGTGAATATATGGTTCTGTGTACACAGATGGCCCCGAACCAAACGGACCCTGTCAATATGGTCTCGCCTTTACAATTGTCTCACATAGTATGGTACCGAACACATCATGCAAAACATACATGGTCCCGGATAAAAGACACGCAATCAATATGGTGGCTAAGCCCCCCCCCCCCCCCCTCTTTTTTTCTTCCTTTTTTTACTCTGGCCAGGGGAATAAAAACAGAAGCATTGAAATAGTAAGCGCCGACATCGGTGATTGGTCCCGAAAGAAATTATGAGAAAAAAAAACACGAAACCACAGCGAAAAAAAAAGTAGACGAAAGGTTAGGCGCGCTCGTTCTGCTGAGACAAGTTAAAGTTCTTGTGTTTCTTTGTTTGTTTTTTAGCCAGAGCAAGCTAAGAAAAATATGAATACAGTATGAAAAACAAACCGGGAATCTGAAAAACGGTTTGAATATACCAATAAATATACCGCATTAAAAAAAAAGAAAACGGCTTTAACAGAATGGGTTTATACCGGGAAATATACCGGGAAAGAAAAGAAACGATTTGCAGAAACTGATAAACGTACTGTATTTAAAAAAAAAAAAAAAAAAAACGATTTACTAATCTGGGTCTATACCGGGAAATAAACCGGGAAAGACAAGAGACGATTTGCCGAAACCAGGACATGTACCGTATTAAAAAAAAAAAAAAAGCGATTTAACAATCTGGGTCTATACCGGGAAATATACCAGGAGAGACAAGACACGGTTTGCATAAACCAGTAAACCATACCGTATTTAAAAAACAAAAATAAATAAATAAAACGTTTTAACAAACTGCGCCTATACCGGGAAATGTACCAAGACAGAAAATAAATGGTTTGCAAAAACCAGGAAACATACCATATTTAAAAGAAAAACGGTTGAGGAGTCCAAGTCTATACCGGGAAATATACCAGGATAAAAAAAAATATGGTTTGCATAAACCAGTAAACATACTGATCTTGAAAAAAAAAAACGGTTTAACAGTCTGGGTCTTACCGGAAAATATACCAGGACAGAAAAGAAAGTTTGCACAAGCTGCATTTTGACTCGAAATCGTACCCAGAGCATAAGACCCAGATTGCATGCAAACACGAATCAAACTGTGAAACAAACACACTATACAATTTGAGTAAGTCGGGCTTAATCTTATACAGTATATATTAAAGTGTCGCCAGTACTAAGGGCCCATTGGGACCACCGATGTCCACCTCTTTGCCCGGCTGTCTGAAGCGGCTGAAATACATGAGAGGGTGGTGGACCCTTCTGGATTATTATACGAACTCTATAGTTTTGTTGCGCAGGATAGCTATGTCGCTGATCCAGCTGGTCGGCCTATTCGGCTACGGCGCTGTGTTCCTGCTGCTGGCGGGTGAGCTGATCAGCGACGTGACCCGGCAGCTGTCCCACGATGCCCTTGACTGGTCCATCTGCTACTGGCTCATCATCATTGCCGTCGTCCTCGCGGGCCTCATGTGGCTTGGTACGCCTAAAGACTTCGGGTGAGTTTGACTAATGAATGAATAAAAAACGTTTATTGAAACAAAAAAAAAAATCCAAAAGAGCTCCGATGACCGAAGTCATCACAGCGCGCTGACCTTGTAACCTGGCGTTGTCTTCTGGCGAATTAGGGAACTGGGTTTGAATGCAGGATGTCAGGCCGCCTGAAGAGATATACTCTAACAGCGATCTGAGCACCCGAGTCGTTCACTGGGAATCACCCGCCGGGTGCGTCCAGTCCCGGAGATTGCTCGGCCGGTCAGTTTGTGCCATCTTGCTGAAGATGACGAGCCTGTACGTTTTTAGACCTTCGCTGTTCCCGAATATGTGGTGTAAATTGGAGCGAGAGTTTCCCTCCCTGCAACGTTTGCACCGGGGGTCAGGTGGTACCGCGTAGCGGTAATCTTTCTTGAGAGCATAAAATTGTAATTTGTATTGGAAGCTGAGAGTCACCGCTCGGCTGGTGCGAAGGCGCCGTAGCAGCAGCATTTCTTTCATCCGAAATGTTTCTTTACGCTGCGTTCCTCTTGTCCCCTGCTACTACAGGTTTTCCCGCTCATTTTAATCCAAGCGACGACCAATTTAATCCCGGGGTCACTCAATTTAATCCAAGCGCCATACAATTTAATCCAAGCGCCACACAATTTAATCCAGGGATCAGCCAATTTAATCCACAATATATATATGCACTTATCATGTTCAGTGGTCGTGTTTTGCTTACACATTTGGTAACTTAGAATAATTGTTTATACAATTTGAATTTTTGGGGGAGCAATTGATAATTTGTTCACTATGTGATTACTTTGATTTACTAGTGCCACTATTGACAAGGCTTAATTGATATGTTGGTTACTCTTTTTACAGAGCAGCTCTTAGGCACCCGTTTCCGGCTTAAGCGGCTTCGGCGTAACCACGCGGTGCATGATGGGCAAACTCCCCCGCCTAATTTAGCGGAAAATTTCCCCGCTAAATCTAGCAGAAAATTTTCCCTGCTAAATCTAGCGGAACATTTTTACTGTTAAATCTAGCGGCACATTTTCCCCGCTAAATTTAGCGAAAAATTTTCCCGCTAAATTTAGCGGAAATATTTTCCCGCTATATTTAACGGAAAATTTCCCCCGATAAATTTATCGGAAAATCTTCCCAGCTGGATTTAGCGGAAAATTTGCCCGCTAAGTCTCGCGGAAAATTTTCCCCCTAAATCTAGCGGAAAATGTTCACCGCTATATTCAGCAGAAAATTTTCCCCGCTAAATCTATCGGAAAATTTTCCCAGCTAGATTTATCGGAAAATTTGCCCCGCAAAGTCTAGCGGAAAAGCTTCCCCGCTAAATCTAGAGCAAAAGTTTTCCCGCTAAATCTAGCGGAAAATTTTCCCCGCTATATTTAACGGAAAATTTCCCCCGCTAAATTTAGCGGAAAATATTTCCAGCTGGATTTAGCGGAAAATTTGTCCCGCTAAGTCTAGCGGAAAATTTTCTCCCTAAATCTAGCGGAAAATGTTCACCGCTATATTCAGCGGAAAATTTTCCCCGCTAAATCTATCGGAAAATTTTCCCAGCTAGATTTATCGGACAATTTGCCCCGCAAAGCCTAGCGGAAAAGCTTCCCCGCTAAATCTAGCGGCAAATTTTTCCCGCTAAATCTAGCGGAATATTTTCCCCGCTATATTTAACAGAAAATTTCCCCCGCTAAATTTAGCGTAAAATCTTCCCAGCTGGATTTAGCGGAAAATTTGTCCCGCTAAATCTAGCGGAAAATTTTCTCCCTAAATCTAGCGGGAAATGTTCACCGCTATATTCAGCGGAAAAGTTTCCCCGCTAAATCTATCGGAAAATTTTCCCAGCTAGATTTATCGGAAAATTTGCCCCGCAAAGTCTAGAGGAAAAGCTTCCCCGCTAAATATAGCGGAAAATTTTTCCCGCTAAATTTAGCGGAAAATTTTTCCTGCTCAATCTAGCGGAACATTTTCCCCGCTAAATTTAGTGGAAAAATGTTCCCCACTCTATCTAGCGGAAAATATTCCCCACTATATTTAGCGGAAAATTTCCCCCGCTAAATCTGGCGGAAAATTTTCCCAGCTAGATTTATCGGAAAATTTGCACCGCAAAGCCTAGCGGAAAAGCTTCCCCGCTAAATCTAGCGGAAAAATTTCACGCTGGATTTATCGGAGAAAATTTGTAGTGCCAAACATACCTCGGCAAACCTCACTCATGAGGGCCCTCACTCACCCTCACTCACCCTCATCTTCACAGGTGAGGTGAGGGTGAGTGAGTTTCTGAACCAGGAAAATTCATGAGTGTGAGGGTGAGTGAGGGCCGTGAGGGCCGTGAGGGCTGTGAGGGCGGTGAGGGCCGTGAGGGCCGTGAGGGCGGTGAGGGCCGTGAGGGCCGTGAGGGCGGTGAGGGCCGTGAGTGCGTGAGGGGCGTGAGGGCGGTGAGTGGCGTGAGGGCCATGAGTGCGTGAGTGGTGTGAGGGCGGTGAGTGCGTGAGGGGTGTGAGGGCCATGAGTGCGTGAGGGCCGTGAGGGCGGTGAGGGCGGTGAGGGCGGTGAGGGCCGTGAGGGCGGTTAGTGGCGTGAGGGCGGTGAGTGGCGTGAGGGCCATGAGTGAGTGAGGGGCGTGAGGGCCGTGAGGGCGGTGAGGGGCATGAGGGCCATGAGTGCGTGAGGGCCGTGAGGGCGGTGAGGGCAGTGAGGGCGGTGAGGGCCGTGAGGGCGGTGAGTGGCGTGAGAGCGGTGAGTGGCGTGAGGGCCATGAGTGAGTGAGGGGCGTGAGGGCCGTGAGGGCGGTGAGGGGCGTGAGGTTCAGTGAGGGTGAGTGAAGGGCTGAAGGTGAGTGTGACTGTGAGGGTGAGGGTGAGTGAGGGGCTGAAGGTGAGTGTAGCTGTGAGGGTGAGGGTGAGTGAGGGGCTTAGGTGAGTGTGGCTGTGAGGGTGAGGGTGAGTGAGGGCGACCTAAAATGCCGACCTCTGGTGCCAACGCGCGACACTTATTGTGGTGGCTCACGCAACGTCTGGAGCTAATAGGGTATTTTCGTAGATCGTTTCTGCTGTCCCGCAACGCTCTCCGCAACCAGCTACGCTAGCCGGAACTCTACAGTCAAGGCCATCGGCGCGCCGGCGCAGTAGCGGCTCTTTCGTTGCGGAGGGCTTAGCGGAGGGGGAAACGCGGCCTACGAAATCTCCCTATTGACGTTTTAAGCGTGCGGCACGAGCAGCACCGATGGGACCGAGCTCCGGGCTCGAACAGAACAACACGAGACTGGCAGCGTTCGACGGTGCAGCAGGGAGGTCTCAGCGGAGCCCGCTTTTGATGATCTTTTTCACTTTTATTGCGGTTTTAAAGATCAGTTTGTTAATTTGCATCGACGGGCGTCTTTCCTGAACCCCACAATTTTTCCGCTAAATTTAGCGGGGAAAATATTCCTCTAGATTTAGTGGTGAACATTTTAAGCTATATTTTGTGGGGAAAATTTTCCGCTAAATTTAGCGGGGAGAATTTTTCGCTAAATTTAGCGGGGAAACTTTTCCGCTAAACTTAGCGGGGAAACTTTTCCGGTAGATTTAGCGTGGAAAATTTTCCACTAGATTTACCCGGAAAATTTTTTCGCTAAATTTAGCGAGGAAAATTTTCCGCTAAATTTAACGGGGTAAACTTTCCGCTAGATTTAGCGGGAAAAACGTTCCAACCAAAATTTAGCGTGGGAAATTTCCTGCTAGATTAAGCGGGGAAAATGTTTCACTAGACTTAGCGGAAAAAAGTTTCTGCTAGATTTAGCAGGGAAAATATTCTGCTAAATTTAGCGGGAAAAATTTTCCGCTAGATGTAGCGGGGAAAATTTTCCGCTAGATTTAGCGGGGAAAATTTTACGCTAAATCTAGCTGAAAATATTTTCCGCTAGATTTAGCGGGGAAAATTTTCCGCTAAATATAGGGGGAACATTTTCCGCTAAATTTAGCGGGGAAAATTTTGCACTAGATTAAGCGGAAAAACTTTTCCGCTAGACTTTACGGGGCAAATTTCCCGCTAAATCTAGCTGGGAAATTTTCCCCGCTGAATCTAGCGGGATATTTTCCCGCTAGACTTAGCGGGGAAAATTTTCCGCTAGATTTAGCGGGAAAATTTTCCACTAGATTTTGCGGGGAAACTTTTCCGCTAGACTTTGCGGGGCATTTTCGCTAAATCTAGCTGGGAAAATTTTCCGCTAGATTTAGCGGGGAAAACTTTCCGCTAAATGTAGTGGAAAATTTTTACACTATATTTAGCGGGGAAAATTTTCCGCTAGACTTAGCGGGGAAAATTGTCCGTTAAATCTAGCTGGGAAATTTTTCCGCTAGATTTAGCGGGGAAAATTTTCCGCTAGGCTTAGTGGGAAAACTTTCCACTACAATTAGCGGGAAACTTTTCCGCTAGACTTTGCGGGGCAAATTTCTCGCTAAATCAAGCTGGAAATCTTTTCCGCTAGATTTAGCGGGGAAAACTTTACACTAGATGTAGCGGGAAAAAATTTTCCGCTAAATTTAGTGGGAAACATTTTACTTTAGATTTAGCGGGAAAAATTTTCCGCAAGACTTAGCGGAGAAAAGTTTCCGCTAAATCTAGCTGGTAAATTGTTCCGCTAGATTCAGCGGGGAAAATTTTCCGCTAGATTTAGCAGAAAAAATGTTCCACTAGATTTAGCAGGGAAACGTTTCCGCTAGGCTTTGCGGGGCAAATTTTTCGCTAAATCTAGCTGGGAAAATATTCCGCTAGATTTAGCGGGAAAACTTTCCGCTAGGTTTAGCGGGAAAAGATTTCCGCTAAATATAGCGGGAAAAATTTACACTAGATTTAGCGGGGAAAATTTCCCGCTAGACAGCGGGGGAAATGTTCCACTAGACTCTGCGGGGCAAATTTTTCGCTAAATCTAGCTGAAAAAGAAAACTTTCCCTGCTAGATTTAGCAGGGAAAGTTTTCCGCTAGATTTAGCTGGGAAATTTTTCCGCTAAATTTAGCGGGGGAATTCACTCATAATTCACCACGTGGTTACGCCGACGGCGACGCCGACGCCGCTTAAGCCGGAAACGGGTGGCTAAGAGCTGCGCTCTAAAAAGAGTAACCAACATATCAATTAAGCCTCGTCAATAGTGGGACTAGTAACTCAAGGTAATCACATTAGTGATCAAATTCTCATTTGGCCCCCAAAATTTCAAATTGTATAAACAATTGTTCTAAGTTACCAAATGTGTAAGCGAAACACGACCACTGAACACAATAAGTGCATATATATATATTGTGGATTAAATTAACTGACCCCGGGATTAAATTGTGTGGCGCTTGGATTAAATTGTATGGCGCTTGGATTAAATTGAGTGACCCCGGGATTAAATTGGTCGTCGCTTGGATTAAAATGAGCGGGAAAACCTGTAGAACGAGCGCGGTCAAGGACCGCTTTTGCCATGGGCCAACTTTATGTGGCATTGAAGACAAAACTATGAGTGCCCCTGAGTTCTCGGACCCGGAACACCGATAGAAGTTGCGCGCGAGCACTACTGAATTCTTTAACGCGCCACTTCCTCGTACTGACTTTGTATAGCCGTGGTTCTCAACCACTGATGTGGATCGGCGGATATTATGGAGGACCCCGGTCATGGTGGGAAAAAGGGACAGGTATAGCTGAATTATGATAATGATTTAATGAATCGATATGAATGTGTGAAGTAGGCTTATCTCATTGACATACATACGAGAAAACTCACCCGAAAATTGAAACGTTTCTCTTCAATCTTAAAAAAAAGACTTTTATTGCAGTACATATACCGGCCCGCAAAAGCATGGGCACGCTTGTCTGCTGGACCTGGCGTCCAACAGGCTGCCTGCATAGGTATAACAAAGCATGCAGTATTTGCATGCAACTAAACAAATCCAAACAATGAGAATTATTCCTGACAAGAGAACAAGCGAAAAACGTGGTAATTTTCAGTCATTTATCGACTGGCAGCACCATTCTCTCAAGTCTTGTTTTAGTCTTTTAGAGTATCCAGGTTATGAAGTGCTTCAGTGTCCTGTTTCTTGAGCCTATTGGTCTGTCCGTCTTCAGAAGTTTGTCCAACAAGCGAGAAAGACGCCACAGACGCCACCGCGACGGCACCAAGACGAAACCGTGACCCTGCTCAGGATTTCATAAAGGACGGGATGTTGGTTTCTTGCTTGTGGTTTGGATAAACGTGTCACAGTGTGTGTGTGTGCGTGTTTGTTTGCGCGCGCACGCGCGTGCGTGTGTGTGTGTGGGGGGGGGTGCACCCGCTCGGTTTCTAAGGGTTGAACTACCATACATACATGATGAAAACAGCTCAAAGGACGCAGAAGAAGTGAAGAAACAAATACGACAGGACGAAAATGCACTCACAACTAATGTTTTATTAGTGAGAAAAACAGAATATACATTTTTGATGCTATCTGCTTTGGATACGTTGTTATCTTTCTGTCTTTTTCAGAAATAAAAGTTTAGTTGTGAGTACAGCTTTGTCTTGTTGTGTTTGTTTCTTCACTTCGCCTTTGTCCTTTAAACTGTTTTCATCATTTGTAACGTTTGCCAACTCCCACTCCCACAAACGCTACTTTACTACCGCACATCTCAGGAATTTTCACAGCGTCATTGTGAATATCTTAAATTATGTTTTTGGCGACAAAGGACTCGGTTGACGCTATTTGGTCTACTGGCTTCTGTCTAGAGCTGTTTGCGCCCGGGCTTGAGTTCAAGCTGGGTTTTGTCGTCTTTCTGAGTTTTAACATGCATGTAAAACTCAATGTCTAAAATAAACTTCGAATGACGCTTTAATCAACTGCATTTTTGGTCTATGGCTCACAGTCATTTGACGTCTAAAGGATTGAAAGACTGGGGGTGTCTGAAAGGCTAAAAAGATTTAAGGACTGATGTGCCTAAAGGGTCTGAAGGGGTTTGAAGGGCTGAGCGCTTTTGAAGGGCTGAGAGGGTCCATAACGCGTCAGGGCAGAAGGGTTGTTTTCGAAAGGGAACAGCTGGTCCTGACTTAGGCCGAACTGTCCCACCGCAGGTTCGCCGCGTTCGGAGCCTTGGGCGCCACCCTGTTGGCGTCCTTTATGGTGGTGGGCGTCTGCTGCTCCCGGGTGCTTGCCGGCACGGCGGCGGGGCCTCGCCGCAGCGAGCTGAGTGTAGAAGGCTTCTTTCGAGGATTCGGCACCATCATGTTTTCGTACGGCGGCGCGGCCATGTTCCCCACGGTCCAGAACGACATGAAGGACAGGTCACGGTTCTCAGGGGCCGTCGTCTACGCCACCATCGGTGAGGAAGGACTAGGTATTTTATCCGAATCGAAAGGCTGTAGTAAAACTGAAGCATCCAACCACATTTGAGATTCTATAGCCATGCTGGCCATTTAGCTGAATTGGAGCGTTCTAGCCGAATTTGAGATTCCAGTGAAATGGGCTATTTATCCAAATGGGAGCATCTATTCGAATTGGTCTTTTCAGCCAAGTTAAGCTATCAGCCAAGTCCCAGTCGAATGCTGACGAGTGCCGACTGCTGACGCAGGCATTTTTCTGTCTTTTCTCGAGCTTCAGCCTGTGCGCCGCTTGGAGCGAGTGACGGAGTCACTACCAATGACATCACTAGCAGGCATTGCCTTCTAGATGGTATTGCGCAAACAGATGCACAGCGCTGCATATTTAGTGCTTTGTTTATTTGTGTGGATGCGTGTTGTTACTGATGAGTCCCGAAAGGGTCCATCATTGCATGACCTAAGTCTTCAAATATACAAACGGCGCTCATCCGAGATTCTCAAGCGCTGTGCCTGACCAGTCCCGGCGTGCTCTCATTGTAGCGCTGGTGCTCTTGTATCTGCTGATGAGCCTGATGGGGTTCCTGACTTTCGGTAGTGACGTCAAGGCCAACATCCTGCTGTCCATCGGAGATGGCGTGACCAGCATTGTTGTTCAATGCCTGTTTATTGTGCACCTCCTTTGCGCCTTCCTCATCGTCATCAACCCCATGTGCCAGGAGCTCGAGGAGCATATTGGCGTCCCACCTGGTAAGGACACCCTGCTGAATACCCCTATTTGTCTCGCACCTCTGATAAAACCTGAGAAAGAAAAAGATGAGGGGGTACAAGATGCATGGTAAGCCGAACTGTTTGGCTGCAAGACGTGTGGCATTTGCAGCTGGGCATGACCCCAGAATCAGATCTACGGAACAGGCATCCTTGCAGCCGAAAGATTCACACCCGGTCAGAAAACGGGCAGACATAAAGGAGTTTTTTTAGATCGTTTCCGCTGTCCCGCAACGTTCTCCGCAATACGCTACGAGATCCGGGTCTGTGTAGACAAGGCTAGCACCGCGCATGTGCAGTAGTGGCGTCTTCGTTCCAGAAAGCGCAGCGGAGGTGGGAAAACGGTCTACGAAAACTCACTATTGGGGACTTCTCGTAGATCGTAAGCTGCGTATTGCAGGTACTGGCGGGCGCGTGGTCAATCTGTGCCCACCGTGAAGATGTCTCTCTGGCTATGCAAAGCTATTGCGGGAGGAATACGAAAGGTTACTGTTATCTCGAACACTACAACAGTTTGACCACGGTGTGTATTTGAAGCGAGAAGCTGCTGGCGTATGATGTGTTGCCTCACGAACGCGTGGATGGGCCCAGGTTCAGACATCTGCGTACTGAGTGCAACCGACTGCGTTGTGACCACTGAAGACTATTCACGACGAGTCTTGCCATAGCAACGTGCAGAAGCCTTTCGTCTGAATCAGTCATAAGTGATCGTAACGCAGTCTATTCCACTCAAAAAGCACATGTCTGAACCAGCCATCAGCATGCGGCAGGAGCGACACTCCTATCTAAGTAACAGCTATGCTTTCAATGCAGTCCTCCTGTGCGTCGGAGATGACCTGTCTGCGACCCTTGGACGACAATTCCCCGCATAAAACAGGACTCGGCGTTTGCTTCGTCTTCGCAGAGTTCACGTGGAAGCGGGTGGCGTTGCGGTCATTCTTGATGCTTGCCGTGCTGGTGGTGGCTGAGTCGGTGCCGCACTTCGGCAAGGTACTTCCGCTGGTCGGCTCGCTCCTGGTGGGACTGACCACCTTTATCCTGCCCTGCGTCTTCTACTACAAGCTGTGCAGCGACACAAAACGGGAGTGGCCAGAGAGGTGAGGTGATTTGACCTGCGTGGCGTGGCACCTCGTTAAATGGCCTCGTGAGAGCACGCTCAGCGATGAGTTGCCTACAGTTCATCTTAGCATCGTAAAACGAGCCGGAAAAATTCGCGGCAGCGCATAAAAATCTCAAGCATTAACCGAATATGCGTTTATGCCGTGCATTCCACGTGGTGAAAAGTAAAAATGTAGCCTAATTTTGAAAAAACAAAGGGTATGACAAACAAATTTACCACGAGTCAACGGCCAGCATGTTCGCAGATGATCAAGTGAAAAACCTCGATTTAAAAGAGGCGTAAACTGAAACAACGGAGAGCGTTTGCAATTTAATGTCAGACGTCTCCTGGGCGGACAGATGGCTAGTGAGTATAAGTTATGTTGTCGCGAGTAGAGAAAGAAATCGGGCGGAAAGGCAGAGACGACTGCAGACGACCAACGCTTTCGTCCCTTCCTCGTAGCTCGTGTTGCACAAGTAGGCAAGTGCCAAAAAAGACAGGGACATCGACGTAAACAGAGGCGTACTCGCAACTAACTTTTATTTAAAAAAAAAAATAACACTCGTATATATATAGTCGTGGAAAAACAGTCATGAATATTTCCGGCATAACCCCTGTAACAAAAAAGAGTACTGATTTGCCGATAAGGACAGTGAAGTGCCACTTATACATTTGTCGCCCTTCGCTTTGATTTCAAAAGCCTCATGTAGCTTTCTAGAAACCCGATCTAGGTACCTAGCCAGAAACCTGATGTCGCTAAATGATGGAGCACATGGGCAACGTCTGCAGTGAGTGGCAGAGTGTCCCGGCGGGGTAGCTTTTGTGTCCGCGGCAGGCTCGCACGCACGCTCATTGAAGCACCTGCCTGTCCAATATACGAAGATCCGAATGACAAGGGTATTCGTACGCTACTCCTTTAGTGCACTCTGTGTATTTGGCGCGGGGCCTGGTTCTGCAAGGGCCTGTAGAATAATCACTGGGATTGTTGATTCTACGGCACAATCGCCAGAGCTTATGGGGTGGAGTGAAAACCACGGGTACGTCGTACCGAGCGGCCAACTTCTTAATGTTAGGCGTGATGGTGTGCCTATAGGGAAGTAAAACCGGCCTCGGCGTATTCCTGTCATGGGGTTGCTTCTGTATCCCTTTAATTGTCTTTACCAAGCTTTCTGCCACCTCAACCAGAGTGTACTAAGGGAAACCCGCTCTCTCCAGCCACGCTACCTGCTTGTCGAAACTTTCTTGGGCACTGTGCCTGCAAGACTTCTTGAGAGCCGCCTCTATACACATCGAAGCAATGCTTCTTTTTACTATTTTTACAAGGGCGGGGTTAAACGGAAGTATACCTTTCTTTGAACGTGGCACATACATTCAGCAAATATGGTCCTTCTGTAGACTTAACCTGAGACCCAGGAACTGCAATCGTCCATCTCTTGGCTCCTCATGAATGAATTTTAAGGCACTACAACATGATTCAAATACCTTCAACAGTTCTGTCACGTCACTAGTTTTTGTGTCTACCTGTTTTCTCAAAATGAGGAAATCATCCACAATCTGAAGACTTTGAGCATGGTAAACTCCCGATATTTTTTCTGAGATGGCTCTACCGCAAACACTTAAAAAAATTTGCAAAAAAGAGGCATCACATAAGAGCCAATGCAGATGCCCCTCTTTCGTACAAAGAAATCCCCTTCAAAAGAAACAAACGTGTGCTTCGAGTAAAACATCAAAAACTCCAGAAACTGTTCTATGCTAATACCGCAAGAGCCCTGGAACGGAAGAATACCGTTATGTTCATTGCACTCTCTGACAGACAAAAGAAGGGGTTTGTGAGGCACCGAATAAAAAAGGTCTTCAACGTCAACGGAGAATGCACCTCGCATTCACTGCGCACCCTTTCTAAAAAAAAGATCGATAATGCATTCAGAGTGTTGCACAATGAACGGATCGCGCAACTCAAAAGGATCTAATGTTTACACAGGAAGCTAGCCACATAAAACTGCATGAATTCCTTTCGGTAACAACAACCCTAAAGAGGATATTATACCTCTTTGCGGTGAAAAAAAATGTGCAGTTGTAGTTTCATGCGGGCTTGACACTTTTTAGCAGTCCAGGTAGTTCCGTCACACCGCCCATCTCCATGGCACTGCACATCTCTCTCTCTCTCTCTCTCTATATATATATATATATACAGTCATGTCCCGTTAATATGAATTCCCCTTATCTGGAGACCATTTTCGGGGACAAACTTAGAAAATACATGCATTTTTGTCTCGTTATTACGGACTACTCATATTATGGATGATTTTTTGGGGGAACGGAGGTGTCTATATTCACGAGACATCACTGTATATATATATATATATATATGTGTGTGTGTGTGTGTGTGTCTGTGTGTGTGCGTGCGTGTCTGTGTGTTTTCAAATAAAAGTTACTTCCGAGTGCCACGCTGGTTGTCTACTTTGTTGTCCTTTTGATTTTTGGCGCTTACCTACTTGACCATGAACCAACCGGCCCAAATCGCCACTTTAATACTCGTATTACAAATGCGGTTCATCAAACCACGTAACCCCAGTCAAACGGCTGGAAACACCCTGTAATCTATCCACACTAAGCAAGTTCAGTAGCTTGTGGCGCCCCCTCACGATAGGTGCATGCCAGCAGACAAAAGAGCGCGTCGTCTGCTCGTTGCATACATCGCAGAGCTGACTTAAACTTAACTAATACCAATGATGCGGCGCTGTATCAAGGTTGTACCACTGATATGTAGCGCGAAGTCGGCGCCGAATCAACGAAGTCTGCGCTATTTCGAGTGCATTATTATAACAGCGCTGAGGTAGCATTGTGGTGTATACGTGTAGGCAGTCTTTGACGCCCCTGAAAATTTTTCAGACCAGGATAAATCTCAAGTCGCAGCCACACGGCTGATACCCTTTCAAAAAGAATTCAGGGAGTCTACAGAAATCATTTCAACGACTCTTCAAAGTTTCTATCCACTCACGTTGTATCGGCAATTTCATTTCCACATAAGTTTATAGAGCACAGACGATAGAAATGCTATATAAAATTTCCATCACCACGTCTCAATAAACTATTTGTCATTATATTTCTATAGAATTTATATAGACTAGAATCGATAGGATAATAAGATGCAGTGCGGAGAAGCGACATCACACCCAGCTGGAACCTTTTTGTGGAGGCTGTCTTTTTTGTCGTCAAATAATTATTTTTTTCTGTGATGCAGTTCATCAACCTTGATGAAGCACACTGCGTATGAGTTGTGTGCAAAAAGTAATCAGCATGCTTGTAATCTTTTTTTATTTTCTGGAATGGTTTTCATTCAAGCGATTGCCTTTCAATTGTAGGGTATATATAGCGGTGGAGCAGTCAACACTATTAACTTACCAATGTTATAAGTGGAACATGGCAATACAAAAAAAAAAAAAAAGAGTGCTTCGTTGCGTGTGTGTTTATGATATCTGCGTATGTGCACACAACGAGTCAGGAGCGCATGTTTCCACGTATGTATCGTGACAAACCTAAAATCAATATTGAGAATTACATTCTTTTGCGGTAAACCTATCGCTGTTACAAAGGGGATAGAAACGTTGCTAAAATTGTTTTTCGTTGCAATTTTTATAAAATCACTTTACACTAAGTTTTAAAGAAAGTATACAAAAAATAAAACGGCCAAAAGGTGTATACAGCCGATAGAAAAGTTGATAGGTTGCCCTTATATAGAGCCTCTGTACACTATATTCTATATATATTTTCTAGAAAGTGGATACATATTTTTTGTAAAATAACATTGAAAAAAAAAGGAAAAAGAAAAAGAAAAACGTGATGTTCGTAGCAGACATGATGTCAGAATAGCCTCGAACATGCTTCACCCATGTTCGAAGCTGATGTGATAGGATGCAACACGCATCTGAATGATGTATTCACAGTGCGAGCTCGGTTTAAACATGCCCCTTACACTTGCATTCGAAGGATGAAAGTGTAAGGGGTATGTAAGGGGTATGTGTAAGGAGTATGTGTAAGGGGCATCTGTAAGGGGTATGAATGTGTAAGGTGTATGTGTAAGGTTTATGAAAGTTCCCCTTTCATTCGATGGATGGTCCGTCCTCGTGTCGTTCGTCTTGCAGGAAGATACCGCTCTGGGAGAAGTCGGTGCTCGTGGAGATTGTGATCGTTGGAGTGATCGGGACCGTTGCTGGCACGGTGTCCTCGGTCAAGGACTTGCTGGCTCCCGGCTCGTTCGCCCTGCCATGCTTCATTAGCACGGATGTGGTCCTCTGATGTCTTCGGAGCTCGGACGTAGCGCACTGGAGTGACCACGGATCATTCTCGGACGCCCGATGCCCAAAGAACTGCTCGAGAGCCGCTCGGGCCACAAACGGCTACTGTACTTCGTTTCACAAGACCATAGCAAACGCTTCGACGAGACCGACCGAGCGGCGCTAAAAAAGCACGACGTCACAACAATCGTCGTTCATTTTGTGCGTTTCTTCTCACAAACACGACCACTAAAGAGCAGAGACTACATCGGGACTTTGTGTTTTTAGTCTTCACACTTCTCTTTGTGTGTCATCCAACCTTTGAATGCGTTCTGACCTAATGTGAAACAAAGCATACAGGGTGTTTTATTGATAACTTTACAGATGTGTTAAAGAAAAAAAAAACAAACAAACAAACGTGAAAGCTACATTAATGCGGTTTGTGTAGGTGCGTTATACTACTACAACCAGGAAGACATAATAGAGAATGCTAATTATCGCGATAATTTGGTCAATTACTGAGTTAGCGGTCTCCGATGACGCTCAGCTAGTTACTCGTTGGAACCGTACGTTTATTCTCACTAAAAATAAGTAAATGAAGACATTTGTGTTAGTCATTGTACTAATTGTGACGATCTGCCCCACATTGACCTCCAGATCGACCTAGAGATGGCGCTACTGTCGCGCTATCATCATCATCAAAGCGGGAATGGAAGCAGGGCCGCACCATGGCCTCTCCACATTCGCGCGAGAGACGGTGGAGATTCTAGAGTTTATTTTGTGGCATAGTATCGGTCGGGGAAAACAATTTTAGCGAAACATGGTGATGTACTGTTCGGTTCTTTAGTGAAGATCGAATCGCGTTACCAGTGTACGGCCTAAATTTAAGTAACCGCTCATGTGGATGCGTCGCCCGCGCTAGACAGACGTTAGGAAGCATCACGACGACGGATGCCTGTCTTCGGATGAACTGCACTATTTATGTTAAATATTTGTTTTGTTTAAAAGAAATGTATCGGCTTACCACCGTGTGAATTATACAAAACAATGAATTCCAGTCCGGATAACATAATACGCGTACTGTGGGCTATGAAAGCTCAGGTTCGATGCTTTTTTTTTTGGGCTTTTAGCTTTTGAAGTAATATAAATATTTAGCATAAAAAGAAGTTTGTGCTGTATTGCAAATTACCGTGCTATTGAGTTCCACTGCAGCCAATGTTTCCCTTTACCGTGCCATGGTGTGGGTACATTTTTCGGAGTCGGAACAATTCTACTGCGGTGCGATAAAGAGAGAGTGGCTCGTCTAGGTTGCGATCCGGAAACTGTTCGTTGGCAGGACGACTGAAACAAGTAAAACAAACAATTCTAATATGTCTGCCGCGAGTGGAACAAACGAGTGTAACCGAGCAACGCACTAGCGTGCGTGTTATTAGATGCCTTTCTCGGTAGTGCGGGTTCACCCGCTTTAATTTTCTCAGTGAGGGCCGCGGATGTCAAAATGATAATATTATAAAAATGATGGGTAAATAATCTTCTATTCCAGACACAGACGCTGCAACTCTTAAAACCGACCCGCACCACGACACAGACAGCATATCGGCCACAGCGACACTCTTTTTCTGATGAGGGCTAGCGACTCTCACGAAACTTTCCGATCACCCTCCGCCCTCACCTAACGCATATCGGGACTGGGCAGTTCATCGATTAATTTCAAATTATTCGAGTGATGCTTTCAGTGCGATATATATATATATTTTGCCGTTTAATTAGAATTTTGTGCTGGAGAAAGTCAGGAACAAGTAAAACAAAATGCCTGGTTTAATATTTCTGACGCGTTTCTTTTGTTTTAGGACACAGGTAAACCATTTCAGCATGCTTGTGATTGTCATCAAGGGGGATTATACTGTTTAAATAATAACTGAAGAAGGAGTTTAATTTAAAAGGCTTTCCGTGTTCATTTTTCTGCAGACGTCACAACGTGAAGTTTAAAATGGGAATGCAATATGCCATTTATGACATAGTAAAATTAGTAAAAAAATGTTAATTTTAACGTCTTTCATGCAATGTGAGCGGTGAAAAATGAACTAACGGATTTATCGAGTGATTAGTGTGATTAGTGATTAGGGCATCGATCAGTCGGGTTAAATTTGTAATAAAATTATAGCTCAATTAACATTCAATGTGTTATAAAAGTTATGACTTGTGGGAGAAAACAAAAATATGTTGGACCAGCGGTTCTATACAGACCACAACACTACGATTATGGAAACTGCCGACTTAATAATAATCGCTTTGCTGAATTTTCACGCACGTGAAACGATACAACACAACCTTTAGTAGAAAAATACGTAAAAAAACAAACAAACAAACAAGAGTTTAATGAGGAGGAGGGCTCAGCTGAGCTGCAAACCGGATTTCATCGTCGAGATCCACGCTTCTGTACGAGCGCCCGTAGCAGACGACGCACGGCGGTATATATCCCCGCTTTCGCATGTTTCCACTTTCGGACGCAAGCACGGTGGCGACACGGTTCGATCTCGAGGCGGCGAATATTATGCGCCCCTGGCCGTACAACTCACCTGCACAGACCGTATTGGTGTAGCTTTCATGGCTTTTTAAAACACAAATAAGTAAAGCCAGAAAACAAACAAACACACACACACACACACACACACACACACACACACATACACACACACACGCACACACACACCTTAGGTGACATGTTAAGAATTCGGGGGAAGCCCCTCACCCCTTTCCACTTAAGCAGAGCGAACGTTGGAGAGGAGGTCGCCTCCTTTCCAGCGTTCCCTCTGCTGGAGTGGAAAGAAGTGGGAAAAGCTTCCCTCGAATTCTTAACGCTGGATTACATACGTCACGAACCGGAGGCCAGGGCCGCGAAAGATTGGACACGAGTGCCAGCCGAACGCTCGCGGCGCCTCACTCGCCGTGTCCGCTCAGTGTCCCGCGTGGCCTCCGGTGCGTGACGTGGCACATCCCGTACCGCGGCCTAAAGTAACTGGATCGCGGGAAAGATAGCGCCGAGCTCCTCGTATGGTCGCCATTTTGGACCTTGATAGGAACAATTTCTCCTTAACGTCTCCATTCTTGAGGAGCCGATCTAAATTCGCTGGTGACGGGAAGCTTTACAGATACGTTTCTTGTATACCGAGATTTTGCTATCAACACACCGGCAAAACAAGCGTACATCTTCGTACCACCACCACACGCGGTGTCGGTGGTTAGAAGCAGTGAAAAATAATTTTCCTGTTTTTAAATACGCAAGAAGGACAGTATAATTGTAAGAGATCCGTGGAAATGAGCATGATAGATAAGTTGACTGCATACACTGTGCCAAAGACGCTTATATTGGCGAGGAACACGGTCAGTACGACGATGCTCCATTGTGATCTTGGTGCGACTGGATTAGAACGACTCTTTCGAAGCTTCGAAGATTTCAAGGGGCCGAAACGGCGATTGCCATGGCAACGGATAGTGATTAGCGAATCGCCTTGCGTGGTTTTGTTTGTCTGCATGTAAGCATTCGTTTGTGTTCGGCTAGCAGGCAGGGAAGGCAATGGCCCTACTTTCCCAAGATCCAGTGACTTTTTAGCACTGCCTTGCGATTTAAAGAGGTGTTCCTTCTTTTGCCGGGTGCCATTTCACGGTGCTTTGACGACACGCGCGAACACAGTCGCTGACTTCGCGGTATAGCTAGCTCTACATGTGGAGGATCCTTTTAATACCCCATTCACACGGTCAGCATAGAGGTACCTTTAACATAGGTCCCTTTGCTACCGGCGAATGAGCCCGTGCTTTTGGGTCGCGAGCACGCGCCACGCGCGAAAGATCGTTAATTGATTGGCCGCAGAGAATAAAGGTCCCTTAGCTAAACGTACCTTTACAGTCGTGCGAATGGGGTATAAGACGGGTTCGCACTGCTCGTACATCATACAAAAGACCCGGCGTTCGCTGAAGGCAAGATGGAAGAACTGTCTGTGTACACGCCTGACATACGCTCGAAGTACGTTTGCTTGATACGTATGTATGCTTCGAACATATGTCTGCACTGAGAGCCTTCCGATATGACACGTGTGGCAGGACCCGTCACACAAGAAAGGGGCATGCCTCACTCAGACGGCGTCTGCCGACGGTCTTTTGCACGATGCACTGGCGGCGTGAGCGCGGCTTTGGTCCCCGCAGGGATTTCCCGGGCCGCGACTTCGGGACCTCCAACTGGAACCACCGCCTGAATCGTCAAATAAACATCTCACATCGAGACTAGTGAGCGAAAGTGACGCGGGGATTTGTGTAATAAGCTCACGCTCCAGTTCGTTGGTGTCCTCCCCGATCTACCGAAGGGAAAATGAAGCCTCTGTACGTGTTTTACTTGCAGCCGTCGAGCGTCGACTGACCGTACCGGAACGAGTGTCAAGCGCGAGCGTACAACTTTTCAGAAAAAAACAAAACAAGACAGCAACAACAAATAAACAAACAAACGCTGCACTGAAAACACAGCGATTCCGTAGTCACCCAGGACGAGAACAACAGAGAGGTCTTTTAATTTTCCCCGCCTCCAGAGCGTGCTTTCCGTTTTCGATAATACTTTGGCGTCTCGTAAAGGTTGAGAGTTCAAGGTGACGTAGAAAGCTAAGGCTTCGAAACACTTCCCTTGTTTTCTCTTCTGCAATACTCTGACCGAACATCGAGGGTTCACGCGCGTGCTAAAACACCAGGTGAGGTGACAGGTGCTCGCACGAGGCCCGGCATCGGAAAGAGACGCCCTCCTGTCCTCATCTAAATGTAATTGTGTTGTTTGTATGTTTAGACAGGCTGGAGAGGCCTCAATGTGCGGCGACTGGAGTCGGAGACACTCCAGCGCGCGCTGGCTGATTTTTGTCGCGCTTTGCCATAGCCTCCTATATACTACAGAGCCTGGCAGTTCGCCACGAGAAGCGGCCGCCGAAATGGAAAAGGTGGAGTGGCAGACAACGGAGGCGAGGAGAGCCTAGGGAGCCTACATACTCGCCGACTCCGTCTTTTAGGGTGGTGACAACTCCAACCATTGTTGCCAAACGCCCGCTCAGACGGCCGCCAAACCTGACGAGCCGCCATCTTGGTCCCCAGCTTTTGCGCGGAAAACGGTGCAGGGGTAGCAATTTGCACAGATTTCGTTGGTACAGTGACTTTTTACGTCATTTAGCAACAGAAAAACTGTTTTGTAGTGATGGATGGTGGTACTTAGCTTAAAAGGCGAGTTTTTTGGGCTCATTCATACGATAAATAAATTAATGTTTTCACCCAAAAATGTCGTATGCAACTAAAATTGCTCATAAAAAAGGCAGCAACTCTCCTAAAATAACCTTTATGTCCACATTTTCCCATTACGGTTTACAGTTGCAAATTGGAGTAAAAAATGAAAACGCATTTTTCTTAGTTTTTTTTTCATTAGACTTGAAATTTTAATAAAAAGATTTGACTAATATGACATATTTGGAGGAAAGTTGCCAATGAATTCTTCAAGTCCCTGAATTTTGCGACCTGTTCTGGTGAAGAGCTAATTGACTAGGACAAAAACGTTAAAGGGGCTTTTCAGTCACGATCATTCCCAGTGTTGTAGCAAAGGTGGGGGGGTCAAGGGGGACGGTTATTGGGGGAGGGGGAGGGGGTGCCACCTCTGCAAGCGCGTAGCCAAGGGGGGTGTTCAGGTGCCAGAACCCCCCCCCCCCCCCCCAATTTTATTTCGTTATATATATATATATATATATATTGTTTGTGGGATTTGACCAACTCCTTGAAACACCCTCCGAAAATATTTTGTGGCTACGCCACTGCACCTCTGGCAGCACCCAGCACCCCCAGCCCCGCCCCGCTTTACCGGTAGGTCAATAGGGAAGGGGGGGGGGGGAAGTGGAGGGTAAGGACAAAAGACATAAGGGCCCCGGGCGCCGGATGGCGTAGCTACACCACTGATCATTCCTCTAGCATGAGATTCCCGACCTTCGATAACTCTTCGCATCTCCTGAAGTTTGAGCGTGAACACGTGCAGCCAGAACAGGACAGAAGGCAATGAGCACGTGCTGGATGCTGGTCATCAGAAAAGATGACTAGGGGCCGGTTCTTGTCCTGTCATTGACCTTACCATTATCATTTTGCTCAGCAGTAGGAAAAAGATTCCCTTTGTGCCGGTGAATGAGTCAGTATGAGAGGGAACTAAGAAAGCTAGAAAAGCTGATAAACATTCGCAAATCTGGCTTCATGAAATCTAGAACTAGCCAAAGAATGTGTCACGTTAAAAAAGACAATGTCCACAGCATGACATTGTTAGCGTAAAGAAGCAATACCCGGTTTTCACTGTTCAACTTTTACAAAAAAATGATATCACCAAAGCTACTTATGTAGTGGAAAGGGCTCATTCGGGCATCAACTTATGCGACAAAAATTTGCATCTCTTAATCCACTATTCGAGCAAAATGAGAAAAAGCGCTGGTGGCGTGTTCGTGCTAAAAGTGTAGTGCAGTGTAAATGAATGCAGCCTGCTACATTGATGAAACTTACTGAACATTTAATACTTAGGAAGACGTGCAGGGCACAAATCACGTGACACACATGTTCTGAAGTAGGACAGCAGACAATAATAAGAGCATAATATAAGAGTATAGGCAAAAGACCAAATAATATTTACAAGAAAGCAAATTCATCACTCACTGGTGACAACATGTGCCAATAAATCACAATATCACTGAATTGAGAAGTACTCTTCGTGATAAAACACACCATTCAGCGGTTAATTCAAGTTTGCCGCAGCACATGTCTTGCTCGACGCTCCGTTTACTTCCTGTGCGTACTGCTGTCGCAGGTGAATCCTGATTCTTGTTCTGACATACTTTTCAAGAAGAATCTTCTCCACACAAGCTTTGTGTATGTCACAGCACCCTAACTCTAATGTTACAGATTTGCGCAGGAACTCCAGAATAGTGGCAAATGGAGCCTTGAGCGTCAAGATGGCGTCTAGTTGGGTAAAAGCCTTGATGTTCTCTTCGCACTCTATCAGGACACTCATCACAGCTTGGCTGGGGTAGACAAGGTTCCCAGCACCCTTGACATACTCTTTCAAATGAATCAAACTGCTGTGCGTATCATTACCATCCGACACTAGGACACCTTCGCAGTCCTCACAGTTGCCAATAAACTTCTTGAGAAACCTAAGAATAAAACCTCCCAGGTCGCACTCGACTGCAGTTAGTTCACACACGAACAGGTTCTCCAGCTCTTCAGACTCTTGGTTGACATCTTGCACCTGCTTCTTGAGGGCTGGATCAAGGAGGTCAGCCAGGTGCATGCTGTCATCAACATTGTAGCTGGAAGATGTCGGGGTGAAGAGAAACTGACTGACACAGATCAACTTCAAAGCACACTTAATGTCATATGCACTTGGCACGGGTTTTCTGAGTCGCAGCACAGAGAAAATATTCTCAAGGCAGTCCTGGCTCAACCTGCCCGTGAGAAGGTACTTGTAGTTGTGCCTGTTCAGAAGTTCGTCAGACAGGCGCAGAATGACAGTGGTTGAAACAAGAAGCCCGGCCTGCGACGGTTTCCAATGAGCTGTTGCTCCCATGTCCATCCGACAGAAGGTGGTGATTGCCAGGTCCAAAGTCCCGAGTGCTTCCGTGTGCTTTACAGCATCAAAATGACTCAGAGCGACCATTGGGTGACGTGACGACATCAAGGTGTACCACCTAGTCACTAAATCAAAGAACCAGGCTGTTGCCTCAGCTTCAGGCGGCAAGACTTTTTGCTGAATTAGGTAGCGGATTGCGGAAGGAGCCTCACGGAACAATTGCACAGCAATGCTCACTTTCATTTTTGTGAAATGTCCATTGCTGACGTGAATGCCAGAAAGCCTGTTGGCGATTTTGAGTTCATTGTGTGCATCGTATGCAAGAACAGCTTCAACATGGTGGATGTCCACGGTCCCTCCTGGGAGGTTGTGCTCTCTCAGAGTCTCTTCTCCTAAAGTAAAGGTCTCTGAACGAAGCAGTTGGGCACGAATATTTTTTAAAACATGCGCTGGATCAGCCATGAAATAGAGCTGTCTCCCGTCGAGGTGGGGGTGTGGGACAGAACACACGGTCTCAGAGTGCCTGTGATTTGAAAAGTTGAGCAGACGCCACACAGCACGGTTTGCTGATCCCATGTCACTTGTAACTATGAGCACCTTGAGAGAGATGTTGAAACATAGTTCAATGAGATGAAAGACAAGCTCCTTCAAAGCACTTTCGTCAGTTGATCGTCCAGTGAAGTGGTATGCAATCACTTGCTTCCACCGCGTGTTTAATCCCCCAACCATAAACACAAGGGCATGGTTCGCAACATTCACACGGGATTTTGGGAGTGTGGTGCTTCCAAAAATACGATCCAGCGAACTGTCGTGGTCAAATCCCTGACTAATCTCCATCTCATCCATAAAGAGAACACATTCTTTCTCTATGTCTTCCATAGTCTGCACTTTCCGCTTTAGCACTTCAAAAACTTCGTCAAGAGCCCCAGGCAGAAACTTAATGTGTTGGAGTCTCCGAATCAACGTTCTGTTCGAGGGTAGCGGATATGACAGGGACCTCAGCAGTTCATACCCTGATGTACCGCATGCGTGCTTGATTTGAAGGGCAACTCGAATAGTCTTCTCTGACCACTTATTTCCCTTCATTGATTTCACAGTCAAAGCCTTTGTTTGGTCTGTGTTCAGAAATCTTGAACTTTTCAAAGCACTTATTTCTTTCTGAGCTGATGTCAGTTTTTTTGTGAGACTTCGCAGTCTTGATTTGGCTTCATCATGGAGCCTTTGCAAGGTTCGGTACTTCCGGGCTAGATCGGAGTTTTTCTTTCGAAGCTCGGAGCTTTGGCGATGCATCAGTAACATACTTTGGGTGGTACTACTTCCAAACGTGAAAACAGCGGACGAGCTTGTTAGTTTTTCTGAAGACCCGACTTCAGGCTGCAATTTTTCCTTCAGCTCCTGAACAATTGGAACTGGAAAACCACCGGGTTGTTCCAATGCAGTAGAACAAACAAGCTCAGACCTGGGCTCTGGGGTAATGAAAAGGGGAGATCGAGCATGGTGGTCCGGGTCACATTCTCCATTGTCGAGAGGTGGTTGTTGCCGTGGGACGGTTGTCACTGTGCAAGTATGCTTTGACCGAGGAGCATTGTCTGTGGTACTTGCACTGTCGTTTGGGGCTAAGGGCAGTGAAACGACTGTCGCTGTACAATCCTGCATGAATAAAGCATTTTCTGTGTTGCTTGCAGAGATATAAAAAGCTAGTGGCTGACGGACGGCTGTCACTGCAGAAGCATACTCGGACTGAGCAGCATTGTCCATGTCGCTTGCACTGTTGTCGAGAACTGGTTGCCGTAAAAAGGCTGCCGATGAGCAGCAAGTATCGGACCCACTGTTCGTAGTGGTTGCGCTCTCGTCGGGGCTGATGGCATTGAAACAATCGTCACTGCACAGGCACGCTTGGCTGGGGCGTTGTCTGTGCTGCTTGCAGAGATGTCGAGAGCTAGTGGCATAGAAATGGCTGTTGCTGCACAAGCATACCTGAATTGAGCGGCGTTGTTTATGTTGCTTGTAATGTCGGCGAGAGCAAGTTGCAGTGGAATGTCTGCCGCTGCACAAATACGCTTTGATCGAGGAGCATTGTCCTTGGTGGTTACACTGTCGTCAAAGGTTAACGGCAATGGAACGGCTGTTGCTGCACTCGCACGCTTGGACTGAGCAGTGTCTGTGGCAGTGACGTCGAGAGCTTCTGGCAGTGGGGTAGCCATCACTGTACAAGCACGCATAGGTGAAGCAGCACGGTTCGCGTCGCTTGTGCTGCCATGTAGAGTTGGTGGTGATGGAATGGCTGTTGATCCCTGAGCACACTTTTTGGGGGCCTTTCTGTGTTTTGGGATGGCTGTAAAAAGTCAATAAACATATATACATTAGTATTAATGCATATGCATTTTTAAGAGACTGAAAAAACACAATATTAAAAATATACAGGTTTTCTTTATCAGTCCTTAGGTACTAGATAAAATGCTATGAAATAAATAATAGAGTGTTGCCAGGCGGCATTCAAACGCTTTAGAGGTTGCGGACCCAAACTGTTTGCGCATCACGTCTAGTTGTTCAAACTGTTTAACAATTAACAATCTTGGTACTGTGAGAACTAGTCTGTCTATATTTCTTTTTACGAAGTATACAAAAGACGAGAATATAAGACTGTAGTTCAGAGAGAATGTTACATTAAGCATGCATTGTGTAACAAGAAAATGCTGGGAAAGAATAGTTTTAAAATATTACACAAAAATAAACCCTTGGAAGTTCAGAAGTCCACTGAAATAGACCTATGAACATGCTTACACAATATTAAAACTTACCACGATAAGGAAAAAGTGTTGGAACAGCATCTGGCCTCAGTTTTTTCAACCCGTCTTGCCGGTTTTGTTCGAAACTGCTGTCCTCAAAATGAGCCTAAAAAAAAGTGAATTTTAAATTAGTTAGCAAATACTCCAACGACAGCACTGTGCCTGCTTGTTTAGTTGACTAACACTATAAACAGAATTAGGAGTGAACTCCATCACCAACTAAATTTTTTTAACACACTCACAGTTGTTATGTGAGGTCTGCTGTTGCTTCGCTAGTCAAGCGTTAGCCAAACGAAAAAACAGAAGAGGCATTACTGGATCAATGTATCCAATACACACCTGCATACGGGACTTAATCAAATTACTGAAAACTACCTAATTTTAGCGATGTTTTAATTTCTCGATTTGAAATCAATCCCAAAAATTTAATCCTGTGAACGAACCACTACGTGGTGAAGAGGCTTGCGAAGAATGTGTTCAAGAAATATTTTTGGAAGCTGAACAAGTCGAGAAAAATCGAGTAAGCAAAAACTAGGTCCTTATCAAAATGTTTTCAAAACCCTTGTTTTTTAATATAAATCCTGAGCCAAACCGTTGTTTGCAGCAGCTTGGTAAACGAAGCTTGTATTTTTGTTTCCCGAACAAACTTGATAGTACTCATCGGTGTGGGTCCGGATATTTCTTTGAACGCCATTTCATAAAACACCGTTTTATCGAAGCAGTTTTATCAAGCGCAGTTTTATCTAACGCCGTTTCAGCGAACGCCGTTTCATCGAACGCCACCTGCTTGAGCAGTAGGAATTCTACATCTAGGAAATATTTTTCTTTCTTTTAGCGCCGGGAGGATAGCAGTGTTTTAATCTTTACTATAATTTTGTAAACTTATACATATATAAAAAGAAGAAATCTTTTTTGTCACCTTCTATTTTTTTTAATAAATGATGACCTCCGTTAATGAGGCCAATAAGAAACGGGAGCACTAACGAACATTTTTAAAGCTGTGATCATCAGGTGCAGTTATGGATTTTGCTTCAAGACGAAGCCGTCCTTGAAGCAGCTTGTCTCCGTGTCCCATGATACGGGGGAAATAAAGATGTGTCAAAGATCGGACAAGTCCACAATTCTGTCGGTTACAATAAATTAACGAAAAGGGGAGACTCGTCGTTTTTAAGAACATATATGTTCTTAAAAAGAAAGCAATTCTCCTAGGATAAAATGAAAACACAGGTAAATCGACAAATACAAAATAAAAAAGGTGCTGCAGAGAATAGCTGTTTCCCTCTTAAGAAAGTGCGTTTCACGCAGGGAAAGGCACTTTCACTGCGGTGAAAGGCAATAAATAGACAGATGAAGTGGGAAAAAGTGTGTGGCCGAGAAACTCCGCCTACCTCGCCAGAAAAGCACAAGTCGCGTATCCACTCAAGTTCTGATATGATAGCTACCTTCTATGATTCAGTAGTCAACGTTTAGGTGGACAAAAAATTGACCGGGTAGTAATTCTATTCCCGGTGAATTTTGACCGGCGCCAAAACTATTTCAGAGACGAGAGTAGATTACGTAAAAAGTATTGTATTACTCCGAAATTCAGTAAAGGGAAATTCGATGAAACAGCGTCAAGTGATTCGATGAAACGGCGTGCGATGAATCGGCGTTCGATGAAATGTCCCGGTACCCTCATCGGCGCATTCAAAACGCGTGCGCAACGCGCGCGTCCTGAGATCGACGTGCGGCGAGCAAACCCTGATACGGAGAAGGCAGGCTCCGTCTCAACCTGTGATATTGCAATGCCGCTAAGGCTCGAATTCGGAACTCGCGACGTTGTTTATGTGCTCCCGACGCGCAACCGGAGACGCTCGCTTTTTGCAGAGTGACGCTAAACATCCCACTTACACTTGCGATCAAGGTGCAAGAAAACTTGCACTCACGGCGCAAACACGAGCAGCTGCAGTGGGTTCCCAGCGGTCTCGTTTGACTTGAGCGAGCCAACGTTTCTTTCGAGTAGGACTACTCGGGAAGCGGAACATACGTGTGCCCCGTCTGCAGTGGTTCGTGCACTGCGGAACAGAACAGCCAGGCATTTCTGCTTCTCACGCCTCTCTTGTTACCACACTTCTTCGCTGCGAACGACTCCGCAAAACACACCAGCACCAGCCGGAGAATGAACACGGTGCGACGCCGTCGCGAGTATCGAAGCTAGGCCTGGCCAGCCTGGCTGGACGAGCGCCGAGCGGGCAGCGGGCGGTCTGGGGACCAAGATGGCGCGGCGCCTTCTGGTGGCCATGGCAACCGATGCTGGCAACACTGGTGGGCGGCGGGCAGCGGCGAGTGGTGTGTCAAAGGATGACACCACCCTACAGACGGAGTCGGCGAGTATGTAGGCTCCCTAGGAGAGCCACGTGACTGGCGCCCCGCTGCGGCGAGACGCCGAAACACACTTCTCCCGAGTGAACAAGTGTGTTTCGGATCTTCGCCGCAGCAAAAGCTGTGCGCTGACGTCCACGGTTCCCCGACAAATGGCGTTTTGATGTTCAGTGCTAACAGATCCTCGCGTTCCAAATCTGCTACCGGGCACTCTGTGGCACTGTTGTCGACCTGCCAGGCTTTGTGAGAGTAGAGGAGGCTATGGTCGTACTTTGGCCGCATGTGTTCACGAGACGTCCGCGCGTTATTGAGGATAGAGAGCTCGCGCAGCAGGCGGTGCTTCTACGAGGAGCATGTTCATCTTCTGATGCAAGTAACGTAATGTTTTGAAACTTTAACAATTCCCTACCACCGCGAGTTGCAGCTTTCTGTGATTTGCGTAATTGATGTTTCCGGGTAAAATCGCTCGACAAGGATAAGAAAAGATAACGAAAAAATTGTTTTGTTTTGTATCGAAATTCTTTAAAAAAAGAACTATGTTTTTAGTTATTTATGCAATCGTGAACTTACTTTAGTCATAGAAATTAAAAATTGACTTACTGGCTTCGAAAGCAGACATCTAAATTCAGCTGCGCGAGATGGGGTTTCTTTCTTCCAGGGAAGGGGGGGGAGGGGAGGTTAATAGCTTCCCTATACTTCTCACATTCCCATCTCCGACGGCTAACACTTCCAACTGTACTGCATAGAATATTACCAGGCCGTCACGTGGCCGATGACTTCCACATAGATTCCACAAGATAAATCAGTAGCGGCCTCCAATCATTCACGCCAATAGCTGATTGTTTAGAACTCGGATCAGCAGTGCAGAAAAAAAAAAAACTGGATTTTCGTGTTTTTTTTAATTAACTGTGGCGGCAGCCGGGGCGTTACACACAGACTACACCCCACGACACCTCACACTAACCGTCACGTGACACGGGGATGTTTAGCGGAAGAATTTCTCAGCCAAGACGACCATGCAAGAAACCGTGTCACTGTAATTACCTCCCAAAAAAGAAGAAGCTTCTTTTGACGTTATTATTTAGTGGCAGGGTGTACACGAATGCGATTATAGCGCATCGAATCGAAAACGGACCAATCACACGCACC